CAACATGCAACCCCGATCGTAGGCAGGGGATTTTCTAGATCATTTAGCAACTTACGAGGTCAACTGGTCTTCTAAGATGCCTCCTATCTCTCTCAATGCGAATACTAGACTCAAGCCAGGATCATGAGAAGTAGTGGAACTAAGACAGTCAATTCATGGATAAGGAGACTCACACAATTCAATAACCAAGGACTCATTGTATCGGGTGCTCTTTCATTTCATTTCACTTGTTGGAACCCCTTCTTCTTACTATTGGTTTTGTTTTTTTTTTCTTTGCTGGGGTTCCAACTGCAGTTTGTATGCGCGGTTTGCCCTTATTAGGTGAGCAAGAGCAATTTCTGTACATCTGTCACTCGCCCGAGTACTTCTTTTAACTCATATTCCTCACTTCGTGTGGAGGGTCAATCAAATTAAGGGGGGTTGAAAGCTCTATCCGTGCCCTTAAAAACACATCCTCAAGTAGGCAAACCGTTCAACAGGTGGAAATTTTACTTGTAATAGAGAAAAATTAGCTTCACCTTGTAGGCCTACCCCACCAAAGATCACTAAAATATCTTCCAAAATCCGATTTTGTGCAATGAACGGTGCCACACACGTTGGGCTTACCCCATGTCTTAGAATTTCAAAATTTTGACATGGAGGACCAACTGCCTTTTCATTTCACACTTGAGCACCCATTTTCGATACACGAGCCCACAACACAACATAAGAGGAGTCATCAATACCACATGAATCAACGGTCCTAAATCCACTAGTTCACAAAATCAACTGGCACAGCAGAGAGACCGATAGGAAAAATCTTATACTTCAAGATCCTCCATAGTGCTACAACTACCTCCCTAGGCTGCATATCACCATAGAGACTGTCAATTCAAAGCATACTGAGCAGGATTTTGCAGGGAACAGTACTTGGAGCCCTTGTAACACCCCAAATTTTTTGGATTAGGTTCGAGCAATATTTGGGTCGGTTAGAAAATGGGTAAGGTAATACCCGTCACTATTTGGGAGTTTTATTTTAATTAATTTCTATTGATGAATCCAAATTAAGGATTAATTGGATTTTAATTAATAGAAAGGGGAATTCCCACTCTCCACCCGTTACTACCCACTCACCTCTCACCCTTCAATCCCAAAATTAATCCCCATTAAAGACCAGAGCAAACGTTTGCCCTCAGGGAACCAAAAAGCCTCATTGTCTTATTACCTTAGTTTTCCCTCAGAGAACTACCAAGGATCCATGGAAATTTCCATCCACTGCAAACACCACGGAGCCTCCAAGTTTTCTCCACATCGCAACCGGGACCCCAAGCCGACTACCAACGAGGAAGAATGCCAAAGGAGAGAGCTAGCTTAAGCTTGGCCACGGAGTTAAGCAATCCAGATAAGTATAGTTGTGGGTTTTGTCTTGAATTTATCGAGGCGGTGGTTGAAGGACTGCGTGTCTTGTTCTAGACTGGAGCAGACCATTGGCTGGGGAGGTCTGGAATCCATTGATCGGAGTTAGGCCTCGTCGCCCAGGACAATCCGCATTGGCCACTACTACGGGGGAGGTCCGGCAAAGGAAGCAAGGTACGTAGAAAGCAAGGGAAGAATGGTTGAACATGGCGGCTGAACCGAAAGATCAACTACAGCTAACTTGATCATCGGATAAAGTTCAGAGCTAGCCAGGTGAGTGGTTTTGTTTCCGATTGCAATATAAATGTGGGGTAGTTGTTGTGAAACGGAATTAGTATACAAGGAATCGGGATATATGGCATGGAGCCTTGAATGATTGGTTGGTTATGGACAATTACAAGCGTTGGGTGATTAATGGATAAATCAAGAACCTACACATGTTTATTTAACTACACGTGCATGGTTTGTAAGAGGAGCTTCTAAGCAGTGGGTGGTCTAAGCAGTGAATCTAAGGAATTGGACACATCTGGTACAAAAAGAGGATTAATTACTTAAGTAGCCGTGTTGTCAAGGTTCTAGTGTTCATTACAGAAGTAAACTGTGAGAAATTGGGATTGGTAACTTAGATTCACAAACGTTATGAGGATTCATGCATGAGAAATAAAAAGCTAGAGGTGGATTTAGATGATCTGCTTAATTAAGTTGGTTATGGCCGATGGGTGGTCGTGAGCTAATGAATTATTTTGCTACGAGGATTAACTATTGGTACGACATGGGAGTACACAAGAAGGAAGACGATGGAACGATGTAGAACAACAGCCAAGCTGATTGGACACGCGGACTAAGATTGTTAATTAAACGAGGTGAGTGTAAAGGGGGTAAAATCTCCGTCGAGGTCTTTTAGTATATGCCTTTTAAATTCAGTTATGTTATTTAAATTTTCTAGTAAGCGCGATTATGTGTGTGAGGCATCCCACCGCGTATTTAAGGTGGAGGCACGCGTTGTGCTATGTATGTGATGTATGTATGTAAGTTGAACCCCCGGGCGGTTGGGCCACTACTGGACACGGTAGATGGTCGGGTCACTACTGGACGCCGATACGTAACGCAGTAGTTGACCGGGCATGGACTGGACGGCAATACGTAATGCAGTACCATTGCCTTGAGGATAGGGACACCGGACGGCGATACGTAACGCGGTGATTCCCTAGTAATAAGTATATAAGTTAAGGTAGTAGTAGAGAACTTCTATGATTTCAGGATAAAAGTTGAGAACCTCTATGAGTTAAAGTTGAAATGAGTTATTAAGGATGAAAGTGAGAACGACGTTCATCCAAGGAAAGGAAGCGCTAATAATGTGTTTTAGTAAGGAGGTTGCTTAGGGCAAGACCTTAGGAAGTAACGACGAGACTGAACCCTTCTCACTCACCAGGTTGAGGAAGGGTTAGCAGAGGTGGATTCCGAGAAGAAGTAAGACGAGGCGAGCTGTCACCTTGGCATGGACGAGACCTCAGGGAATCAACAAGGAGTTAGTGCCATAGTTAGTTTAGTTATTTTGGCCATGGTTATGAGTATACCTACTGGAGATTCAATGTTCAAGATTCTTGGTTAAGTTGTTTTAAGTATTTGGATTTGATTGCCCAAGTGTTAGGGTTTTTGTTTGAAATTCTTGTAACACCCTACCCTATACGTATTACCTAATCATATTGTTCATACAATTGCAGCGGAAATAATCTCGGGTGTTACATTAATTATCAAAATTTACCCAAATAAAATCTCGACATGAATTACTCGCATAATGGGCTAACAGTTCTTCCATCTAATCCTGCAAAATAATTCATCAAATCCATGCATTCATAGACAAACATATACACTCACTGCCATATGTATTGGCTTTTCATAGCCATAGTCACCGTTTCATGTTACACAACTGCATACTATACTGATACATGCCATAATCGTCACAACTTACATAATTACACAAATATACACATATCATCAACTTTAGTCAATTATATCATACAACAGTCCATGGTTTTTCATAGCCATAGTCACCGTTTCATGTTACACAACTGCATACTATACTGATACATGCCATAATCGTCACAACTTACATAATTACACAAATATACACATATCATCAACTTTCCACACCTGTGGATATCTCACACTACATCAGAAGCTAGTATGCACATGAAAAACGTTCTCAAAACATTTTTACAAAATGGTGTGGATCACTGGCCAAAATCCCGAGTAGTAGTCTAAGCACAGAATAGTTGAAGACCATACCTCATCTTGCCTTCAATTATTTCTCAGCTCCCACCTATACACCTATCTACTGCTGCTGATGATGATCTGCTTACACATGGCATAAGCAGAGAAAAAGGATAAAGAGGGTCAGCTCATAGCTGAGTGAGATAATCATAGCATCGTGAGTTCATAACAGAGCATACCCCTACCATACATCTAGCAAATAAGCCCAAGCACTAGGATCAGACCTCAGCCATCCGACATCCCAATAGGCAAAAGACTCAACCACCTTGACTCATGCATATGCATCTTATCATGTTTTACTTATAGGCGCCTGGCTACTCCCATGCTAATTACTCTCCCGGGAATACGGACCAAACATCTCGTGGATGTGGTCATATCGGACCCACCACTGCCGGTGTAGTCATATCGGACCTGACACCACTATGGGTGTGGTCATATCGGACTCAACACCACTCTGGGTGTGGTCATATCTCATGATGAATCAACGGTCAACACCACATCAGGGGTGTGACATAACATATCATAACGGAGTAATAGCATGGGGAGCCCTAATTACTATGTAATTGACCATGAGACCAAATCACTCTTATTTGGTAATCTTATACATGATCCATATCTCATCTTGCTTACTCATAATTCGTTACTTGTACATGAACTTGACCTGGCCACAATTGGCTCAACATAGGTAAATCAGGAGTCGTATAATTGCACTTCCTCGGGATAAACCCTCGTGCAAGTCATCCTCCTTAAACATCATAATATCACCAGGGAATATATATTTTCCCACATATGTATCCAAATACAACAATCATGAAAAATCATACACAATCACCTTCTCGAACCATCATAAAGCATATTAACAGTCTAGCCCACAATTTGTAACATATACACAATCATCAGCATAAACAAGGTCCATATCAATTAGGGCAAGTCAATAATATCATACAGTAGTCCAGGGTTCAACATATAGCACAAAAGTTCATACACCCCTAATCATGACATTCTAGTTCACCTAGATCAATTCTAGGCATCAATATAATTATCGTGATACGACAAACCCGGTATGTCGTGCTAATCCCTCACCAGTTCTGGTCGTTCAAACACCGGTTTAACCTTCCCGTACTAAAACGTCAATTTCACGAACGAACCTCGAATTAAAATCCGAGACCGTCCTAATATCCCCTGCAGTATCCCCGTCAATATTAGTTCTAGGCTCCGGGTCAAATTCTCGATAAAAACACATCAAACCCTGGCCGGAGCTAAATTCAGCAATTTGGACCCCGACCTAAATAATTGCCGAAATTCAGGGATTAGAACTAGAGGATTGATTACCTCGCTGCAGGAAGCTCGTATATGAAATTTGGGCTCAATCCGGCTTCCGGATACTCCGAAACCCTAATTTGGCTTATCGGGAATTCAAGAAATTCCTGAACCAAAAACTCGTTTTAAAACTCTAAATCGATAAATCACGATGAATAGATGAATTAGGCATTACTTACAGGATTTTTGGATCACTAGGGCTCAAGATTGGAGCTCTCAAATTTTCCTCTGTCGCTCCCCTGAACTTGTCCGCTCGCTCTGCTCTCGGTCGGAATAAAAGGAAAAAGTAATGAAATGGGACGGAGATGAGAATTAAATGGACAGGGAAAAGTATATATATATATATATATGCCGGCCGCTTAATTAATATATATTTATATATATATATATATATATATATATATATATATATATAAAATTAATACGTATACTTATCCGATCGATAATCCGATTTTCGTCGAAATAGTGTCGAAATGCTCGATTTTAAATCGCAAACTTTCTAGCGATCGAAATATGGATTTTGCCGGAACGGGATGTTACAATTCTTAAATAATGTCAGTTTATTTATTTAAAAAGTGGTTTGGTTGCTCCGGAGTAACCGGTTTTCGGTTCGAGTTATGGTTTGGTTTCAAAAAGAGTCGGGACGTTTCATTTTGGTATCAGAGCCGGCACTCCTATGTTTCTTGGTCTACAAGGAATACTGGAGTGACGATCTGAGTTTTTCAAGGTTTGTGTTTTTAAAGGAAAGGAAAAAGGATGTCAGGTTAAAGATTTGACCAAACGAGTCAGGGTTTATTTTAAGGATTTTTAGAATCTCCAGTATACTCTAATCATGATTAGGAGATAACTCTATTAGCCCGCGTAACTATGATATATCTCGGGAAGGAGAAGGAGCAGGTTCCTAGTGGGATCATTTGGTGAAAACTCGTTCATGAGTTAGAAGAAGAGATTCAAGGCAGCTCATATCCTACGGGGACGCGAGCTAATCAGTTTAAGGTTCAGGAAGAAGTCGAGTATGTAGTACGTCGACAGGCAATAGGCAAAGAGTTACTGCAAGTGGCGGCCAAAAATCTATGGGGTCACAAGAATCGAGCATAGGGATACGACCCAAGGAGTAGGGGAGGTTAGACTTTCAGCAGCACTATGTAACCAATAAGTGCAAGCTAGAATATAAGGTATACGAGGGAATCCTCCCGGAGGGTGATGCGTTCCGTGAAAGTCAAGAGTTCTGACGGAGGGGCACCCATGGTGAGGGTAGCCAACTTAGCCGAGGTACGAGGAGGGATTCGAGAGACCCTAAGGGTTATAGTGGTCATGGGAGGATACAAGGGGTATCATCGGACCAGCATAGCATAACAGTTAGAATCTCGAAACTTGCCTAAGAAAAGTCATCAAGCCTGTCGAGGAAAGATAAGAAAGTAGAACGTTCGAGAGAGGTTCTATTAAATGTCAAAGAAGGCAAGTAGAACTTTTGAGAAGGAATGACGGGGAGCTAGTGAACTGAGTTCGAGCATCAAAGCAAGGACCAAGTATCGATAAAGGGGTTGTGAAAGTAAAGGAAGTGTAAATCCCTATAGTAGAAGGATTACCACAGTAAGATTTTGAGCTAATGCGATGAGCAAATTTCGAGGTCGAAATTTTTCTTAAGGGGGGAGGAAATGTGATATGTCGACTTCGATGTAAAGTCTAACAACAAGTAGCGAGTGAGCTGGACCAATAGATTGAATATAAATTTTGTTCCATCAAACGCTTGGGCTCGAGCGAAGGAATTAAAAAGGACAAATAGCCACTCAAAGCTACTCGATGTTAACGAGCTTGGTGAGGATACCTTCTATGGTTAAGAGGAAACAAAAGAGGTGAAGTAAACTATACGGGACAAGCAACAGACATCATTGAATTTCATGTGCAAGAGTGAATTCTTGAGCCAAGGAAGCACGAGAATGAGGACTATGGAGGGATGAGTCCGATCAAATTTCGGGGACGAAATTTTTATAAGGGTGGAGGAAATGTAACCCCGAATTTTTTGGATTAGGTTCGAGCAATATTTGGGTCTGTTTGAAAATGGGTAAGGTAATACCCGTCACTATTTGGGAGTTTTATTTTAATTAATTTCTATTGATGAATCCAAATTAAGGATTAATTGGATTTTAATTAATAGAAAGGGGAATTCCCACTCTCCACCCGTTACTACCCACTCACCTCTCACCCTTCAATCCCAAAATTAATCCCCATTAAAGACCAGAGCAAACGTTTGCCCTCAGGGAACCAAAAAGCCTCATTGTCTTATTACCTTAGTTTTCCCTCAGAGAACTACCAAGGATCCATGGAAATTTCCATCCACTGCAAACACCACGGAGCCTCCAAGTTTTCTCCACATCGCAACCGGGACCCCAAGCCGACTACCAACGAGGATGAATGCCAAAGGAGAGAGCTAGCTTAAGCTTGGCCACGGAGTTAAGCAATCCAGATAAGTATAGTTGTGGGTTTTGTCTTGAATTTATCGAGGCGGTGGTTGAAGGACTGCGTGTCTTGTTCTAGACTGGAGCAGAACATTGGCTGGGAAGGTCTGGAATCCATTGATCGGAGTTAGGCCTCGTCGCCCAGGACAATCCGCATTGGCCACTACTACGGGGGAGGTCCGGCAAAGGAAGCAAGGTACGTAGAAAGCAAGGGAAGAATGGTTGAACATGGCGGCTGAACCGAAAGATCAACTACAGCTAACTTGATCATCAGATAAAGTTCAAAGCTAGCCAGGTGAGTGGTTTTGTTTCCGATTGCAATATAAATGTGGGGTAGTTGTTGTGAAACAGAATTAGTATACAAGGAATCGGGATATATGGCATGGAGCCTTGAATGATTGGTTGGTTATGGACAATTACAAGCGTTGGGTGATTAATGGATAAATCAAGAACCTACACATGTTTATTTAACTACACGTGCATGGTTTGTAAGAGGAGCTTCTAAGCAGTGGGTGGTCTAAGCAGTGAATCTAAGGAATTGGACACATCTGGTACAAAAAGAGGATTAATTACTTAAGTAGCCGTGTTGTCAAGGTTCTAGTGTTCATTACAGAAGTAAACTGTGAGAAATTGGGATTGGTAACTTAGATTCACAAACGTTATGAGGATTCATGCATGAGAAATAAAAAGCTAGAGGTGGATTTAGATGATCTGCTTAATTAAGTTGATTATGGCCGATGGGTGGTCGTGAGCTAATGAATTATTTTGCTACGAGGATTAACTATTGGTACGGCATGGGAGTACACAAGAAGGAAGACGATGGAACGATGTAGAACAACAGCCAAGCTGATTGGACACGCGGACTAAGATTGTTAATTAAACGAGGTGAGTGTAAAGGGGGTAAAATCTCCGTCGAGGTCTTTTAGTTTATGCCTTTTAAATTCAGTTATGTTATTTAAATTTTCTAGTAAGCGCGATTATGTGTGTGAGGCAGCCCACCGCCTATTTAAGGTGGAGGCACGCGTTGTGCTATGTATGTGATGTATGTATGTAAGTTGAACCCCCGGGCGGTTGGGCCACTACTGGACGCGGTAGATGGTCGGGTCACTACTGGACGGCGATACGTAATGCAGTAGTTGACCGGGCATGGACTGGACGGCGATACGTAATGCAGTACCATTGCCTTGAGGATAGGGACACCGGACGGCGATACGTAACGCGGTGATTCCCTAGTAATAAGTATATAAGTTAAGGTAGTAGTAGAGAACTTCTATGATTTCAGGATAAAAGTTGAGAACCTCTATGAGTTAAAGTTGAAATGAGTTATTAAGGATGAAAGTGAGAACGACTTTCATCCAAGGAAAGGAAGCGCTAATAATGTGTTTTAGTAAGGAGGTTGCTTAGGGCAAGACCTTAGGAAGTAACGACGAGACTGACCCCTTCTCACTCACCAGGTTGAGGAAGGGTTAGCAGAGGTGGATTCCGAGAAGAAGTAAGACGAGGCGAGCTGTCACCCCGGCATGGACGAGACCTCAGGGAATCAGCAAGGAGTTAGTGCCATAGTTAGTTTAGTTATTTTGGCCATGGTTATGAGTATACGTACTGGAGATTCAATGTTCAAGATTCTGGGTTAAGTTGTTTTAAGTATTTGGATTTGATTGCCCAAGTGTTAGGGTTTTTGTTTGAAATTCTTAAATAATGTCAGTTTGTTTATTTAAAAAGTGGTTTGGTTGCTCCGGAGTAACCGGTTTTCGGTTCGATTTATGGTTTGGTTTCAAAAAGAGTCGGGACGTTTCAGCCCTCAATTCATCAAATTGGACAGTGGACTAGGCTCCAAGCACACAAACTCATCTAGCAGTCAAAAATAGATAAACACCCCCCCCCCCCCACACTTAAGCACGACATTGCCCTCAATGGAGCAAGGGAAATATAAGGGGGAACGATGCTACCTGGAATATGGACTGTCGGGGGACTGGAAATGGGACCAGTCAGCAGGTCTAGAGTCATCAAAACACACTGGGTGATATAAACCATAGTTCCAAGTGGACAAACCAAAAACAAACGAAGGAAAAACAAACCTTGGTGGGGTTGCCTCCCCACAAGAGCTTCTTTTACTTCTTAGCCGGACGGTGGCTCCTAAGTTTCGGTCCACCCCAAAACCTCCTTGAAGTTGAGGTTCTCGTCGATGATGTGGAGTCTCAAGTCACAAGCAGATGATGTGATAGGTGATGAAGATGGCTCGTGGCCTTGAGGAAGATGAAGTCTCCACTCACGAGACCTCTCCTTCGTGTCTTCTCTTGTCTCACTGCCCCAAACCAGATAAGATATATTCGATTGACCACCATCGCATCCACCAAGAGGGATTGATGTTGATGTGGTCTTGGTCTGGCAAAGAGACACTGCAAATGGGTCCTTGCCAAGCAGCTCCTCAAAGTTTGGTGGAGATATCAAATGTAACATAGGGCCGGTGCAAGCCTCTTCCACCTCAACTTCATCCTCAGCCTGGATGCCAATTGCTTCCTCAACCCCCCTTCTTTCCTCAGAATGTGGTCTCTCCCCTTGGAAAAGATCAAGAACTTCCTCTTCTTTGATTTCTTCATCATCCTCCACAACTTCTTCCCTCACCATTTCTCGCTCTTCTTCTTCTAGAACAGATTGGAGAGCAAGTCGCCATGTAATTTCTTCAATGAGATCATCTTGCATCTCCTCGCTCGGGTCCAGCATGTTAGAGCAAAAATGAGGAAAGGTGTGATCTGCAACCAGAGGACTTTCCTGATCATGATTATCATGGGAGTTCTCTGTGATAACTTCTGTATGCTCCTCA